AAAAAAAAAAAAAAAAAAAAGCTGAGGATGTAGCTCAGTGCAAATGTCCTGTGTTCCTGTGTTCAGTCCCCAGTACCACGGTACATAACACATAACATATAAAGTACTTTAAAGAGTTTTTGTTGGTGTATCCTGTCCTGTGCTCTACAGGACAGAAGCTGATTTTTCACTTTAGCCAGACAAGCTCCACTGTGGGCAGTCAAGGCTGAGGCCAGTGGTGCCATCGGAGAGCTCAGCTCCTCCTGGCCTTCTCATCCTCCTCCTCCCGGGGCCACCTTCCTGGTTAGCCCTGGGTCCTCGGTGGCTTTGGTGAGAAGGAAGCTGCTGAGCCTTTTGAGTGGCCTTCTTTTTTTTTTTTTTTTTTTTTTATAAGATTCAGTTTTACCAATTTATTTATTTTTAAAATTATTTATTTATTTGTGTGTGTGTGTGTGTGTGTGTGTGGCCAGCTCAGCCCACCAGGGGGCGGGCTGGCTGGCATGTGGTGCTGGGGGATTGAGCCGCAGTCCCTGTGCTTTGCTAAACTTGTTCTAAGTAGGTGCTTTAGACCACTGAGCCATCTCACCAGCCCGAGCGGCCTTCTTGAGACCTCGTGCACACCACGGCCACCACATGGCTGGCTCATAATCCCACAGCCATTGGGAGCTGAAAGGGAGGCTGGGAAGTGCCAGCAAATTTATTTAGGGCTGCAGCTTTCCCATAGCAACAGGAGGTGGAAAGAGAAATTGCTGAGATAGGTGCCCTGACTTGAACCTACCATAAAACCCAGATTTTCAGCTGCTCCTAAAAAAGCCAGTCTCCTAGAGCCAGATGTGGCTGTGCACATCTGTAATCCCAGCACTCTGGGAAGCTGAGGGAGGAGGGTGACAAATTAAAGCCCAGTCTGGGCAATTTAATGACTTAGTGAGACTCTGTCTCAGAATCAAAAAATAAAGGTAAAAATAAGGCATGGGGGTGTAGCTCAGCACAAAGGCCCCAGGTTCAAACTTGAGTATTGAAAAATCAAAACAAAACAATGAAGTTCTATCAGCTGTGGAAGGTTTTTTTGTTTTTGTTGAAACTGGGGATTGAACTCAGACCCTTGCATTTGCCAAGAAAGAGCTTATTCTAGGGGCTGGTGAGATGGCTCAGTGGTCTAAGGCACCTACTTAGAACAAGCTTAGCAAAGCACAGTGACGGCGGGTTCAATCCCCCAGCACCACATGCCAGCCAGCCCCGCCCCCTGGTGGGCTGAG